GGGGGGGGGGGGGGGGAAATAAGAAAAAAAGTAGAGATATAATGAAAGAGCACGCTAATGGGTATAGACCCATACCGCTTGCAGGAAACAGTTTCACTCCGTTCACGAACACGCCCGCATGCACTGCACATGCACCACACATGTATCCTGGTACCAGACCGAAAGGAATGCCAGCTTCAAACGAAACCTTCATTTTCTGACAACTCGCTTAATAACATCATCAGGCTGCTCGTTGAGCAAATTCCCAATTTCCATGCTATCCGTCAAGATCAGGCGAGCATCTGTGTCTCCAATACTCATATCTTCCTTGATTAGCATGACCGCTAATTCCGGAACCATGACTGATTGCACGAAGCCGGAGACGCCAGCAGCTTTTATTAGAGTGTCCGTCGGGGCCAGGCTATTGAATTTCAATGCAAAATGGCCGATGATTGCATCCATCCTACATCAATATATGTGATACGTCAGTTGAATAGGCAAGGTTCAGGGAGAGAGAAGGTGCAACGTACATCTTCTTTGCACCCCAGGGGCCGTAATATCCAGTTGATATTTTATCCACCCCGTCTCCATGGACCGTTAAACGCAGGTTACCCCTCCGCTCCCCAGAACGAGCAGACTCCAATACGTTCCGGTAAAACGATGGCTTCTTGCAGGTCAATATCTGATCCAATTCAGCATAATGTTTCTCGATGCGCTTGTGGAGATTCTCCCAGTCGATTGTCGGATAGCCTCTATCGACCCATTCTCGCTCAGCCGCTTTTCTTGTATGATTGCGGCAGAATTGGGCTTTCTTCCTATAATTCAGGCCGCTGAGGTTCTGCAGTTCGTCCACAAATCTCGGATCGACGACCTGGTCGCAAATGGGGCAGAGAGTAGTCTTTGGCATTTGCGTCGCTGAGTCGAGATGTTGCTTTTCCTCCTGCGATAGATGGAGGCCTATGGAGGAAGAGATTGAGCTCAATGGGGACGATGACAAGTCGTCAAGAATGTCATCCAGGTGCGATGGGACGGTAATTGAGGAGCTTGTGGTGAAATCGGTTGATATTACGAGGGGGGTTTGGAACTCAGGGCCCTTGGCGGAGGCCTGTGATGACCGAGGGACAAGATCATCGTCGTCAAAAGTAGAAGGCGGGTGTTTAAATCTAGATGGAGGCCCATTTTTCGGAGCAGTATGAATGTTGCTGCCATATACTGTGGGATTCTTCATCGCACGATTTGGCTGTGAGGAGAAAGGGAACATATCCTTCCCAGGGGGGTCTAGAAACGTTCTACGAAGTTGCTCCTCTGGCGACCCAACTGGAGAAGACTTTGTCCTTCCTGAGCGCCTTCTCCCCTTCCGTGGAGTAATTATCTCTTTCTTCCTCCGTTTCGACACTGGTTTATCCGTCTCCTCATCCTCGGCCTCCTGAGATGATTTTCTAGCACTGACTTTAGCCGACCTCCCAGAGGATCTCCGTCGAGGTTCCGGAGAAGGCGATAATCCTGCACGGGAATAATTTAATTCTTCGCTTTCATCAGTAGAACTGAGGGGCTCGTCGTCCGTTGCGGGTTCAAACTTTGCTCTTTTTTTGTTGCCGGGTGCATTTCGTCGAGGTGTTGAGTCGATGGTTGTGCTATGTGGGACATTTCGTTGTACTACTTGGCCTCCAACTCTGGTCAGAGGCGATCCGTGTGCATTATTTTGTTTTGTGAGAAAATTGCTGGAGTAGCTAGAATTAGATCTAGCAGAGACCATTGTTCATCACTTGCTTGGGAGAGCGGGCCTGTAGTGAGAATGAAGCTGGAAGAGAATGAGAATGGGCCGTCTTGGAGGCCAATTGAGAAGTTAGCAGGTGAGTGCGGCCTAAACTCTCGTCTGCGGAGGGTGATTATGGAGACGGAATATCGGATGGGCTACCGTCGCGTGGAATGTGATTTTCTGCTGCGACCGTGACGCGCTTTGCATTTGGGTCGCGGGTGTTTAAATTCGGATTGCTGTTCGAGCGTAGGTTAAGTTAAAAGTTCGGTCGTTCCGCCAACTCTATGTGTGTGTGTGTGTGTGTGTGTGTTTATTTAACGCCCGGTTAGTCCACGTGCCTTATGGTCACGTGAACTAGTAGAGTCCGCGTCGAACTATAGGGCGGGTAGAGCTGCGCCCGTAGGCGACTACCTATCTAGTAGCTATCTTACAAATGAGGCAAAAGGGTTGCGTATTGCTGCACCGGCAGAGCCCATGGGTCGGTTGCCATAGAGCAGAGGTTTTGAGAGGTTTTAGGTTTGTGGGAGGGAGGTAGGGGAGGCGGATAGGAAGGAAGGCAAGGAAGGGAAGAAAGGGGAGGAGAGAGAGGAAGGAGGAGGAGGTGGTGAGGAAGACGGGGGCAGGACAGAG